TATATATATATATATATATATGGATAATTTCTTTAAAACCGTTCTTTTATTTTTTGGATTCCAATGATGATAAAGTGTAATGAAACTATTTCAATTTAATAATGATAATTCTTGGCCATCGATTTAACATTAAGAATTAAAAGCCTAACATGATTTCATGAGCAACAAAAATAAAATAACAAAAAAGACCCGTGACAGGTATTCCCTTCCTTTACAGAGAACAGAACAAAACATATTATCACTTTTTATTGCAATTTTCCATTATTAAATATAATAATAATAATAATAATTCAGCGTTAATTAACAGGCTTTAACACCAGCAGAGCCATATATGCTCGAACCAACAAAAAAAAGTTATTAAAATAGTGAAATGAATATTGGGAGAGAAAAATAAATAAAAAGTACAAGAGACAAAAAGAACTGAAACATTGGCAATATTTAGAAGATGGAACTGAATCACGCAAACTTTATACAACAAAATACTTTCTTTTATATATATATATATATATCACAAAAACAATTGGCTATATATATATATATATATATGTCATATTAACGAAGTTCTAACAATTTTTTTCTTCAATAATAAAAGATTCTCCTTAAGTGTCAATAATAATTTATTTAGGGTGAAAAAATGAAATGAAAGTAATTTAAAGAACAGAATAAGAGCCCATGCAAATGGTAAATAAATAAACAGGAAGCATATCAGACGACGTTGACGGGCTTGCGAAGGAAGATGAGAGAGGACGGCGACGGCGCGTCTCCGAGCCACGCGCCACCTCCGGCGACGGAGAGACGCTCGTAGGAGTCGACGGAGAATAGGGAGAGGGAGAGCTGGAGTCGGTGGGAAGCAGCGGCGCGTGGGGACGGGTTACGGAGGCGCGTGAGGAGGAAATAGAGGCGGCGAAAGCCGCCGAGGGAGGAGACGATGGAGCGGAGGGAGGGGGAAGGAGGAGGCGACACGTGGCGGAGGCAGAGGTCTTCCCAGATGGAGTCGTCTCGGGAGACGACGGAGGACCAGAGGCGGCAGACGCAGGCGGCGGAGCAGAGAGTTGGGCCGTCGAGTCGCCGGAGAATCTCAACGAGGATGTCGACGTGATCGTTGATGCTGAAGAAGAAGGAGAAGTTTTCGTCGCCGTCTTCGGCGGAGTATTGTAGCCTCTGTCTCTTTGTTTTACTTGTGTTCTGTTTCTCCGACATCTCGTATGGTGTCTCCGAGGTTCGTCTTCTTTGTCCCGAGAGAGAGAGAAGCGAAAAGATACAGCTGTTGGTGTCACACGCAAACACGCCTATATATATATGTATATGTGTTGTGAGAGTGTAAGAAGCAGGGGAGTGTATATATATATATGTATTGTGTGTGTGTGTGAGAGAGAGAGAGAGAGAGAGAGAGAGATGTGAGCGAGAGTGATGTTATATGCTATCTGTAAAGATATATATGTGTGTGTATATATATGTGTGTGTGTTCGTGTGTTTGTTCTGTTGGTCGGATTAACACATGCCTCAAAAACCGTATTATATATTTTGTTTTTTTAATAAGGGTTTGTATATTATACATTTTGTTTCTTTAATTAATGAATGTTACATCATTCTTTTTGTGAGCAAAATAACCTACCACTACTAAATAAATTATAATCAATTAGCAATTGGATAAAAATAGGAATCCAATGATGATAGTTACTAATCATATTTTTATGCTTCTAGTTATTTCAACTGTATATAGTTGCATGTTTGGTAAGGAAACCTGAATAATTAAATAAAAATTATTATATGAAACGTTTTTTATTTTCCGATATTTAACCTGAAATCAAACAATTAACAATTACGTAAAAGCCCGTGAATTCAATGGAAGATTCGGTGCATGGAGAGAGAAATCAATAGTATAATGAGAATGGACCCGTCTTCTAGGTCTGAAAAAACTTCAAACCTAATCCAAAGCAAATCTCTAGGTCAATTATTAATCATTACTATGATATACGTACACTCGTATATGTATGTATGTATGTATGTATATATACATTTGCATGTGAAAACATACGTGTGAGTGTATGGATTTTGGTTGGTCCATGGGGGTAACGTAAAGTTTTTAACGATTTGACTCAACAGAGAGAGAGAGCGGCTTGCGCTCTGTAAAGCAGTCAAAGAGTCAAACATTGACTATTTACGTACAATGAAGTTTATTAACCAAATATCTTAGACTGAAATTAAATAATTTTTTACTATTTTTCTCTGTACGAATATTACATTCCAATTTTCTAGATTTCATTTTTATTTTGTAAAAATAATATTTATTCGATTTCTTTTTTTAAATATTTAGATTTAGTCACGCGCAGGTTCGGATTCGGTAAAAAGGTTTCGATTTTTTAAATATTTGTTTTTGTTTAACTTCTGATTTGATAATTTTCGGTAAAAAATAAATTTGGTCAATTTTTACGTCATTTTTTTTAATTATAATTATATATTACTACAAAATATTTAGCAATCCGTTCAATTAAAACTGCATTTAATTAAACAAATGTTAGCATCAATCTAAATAGTTAAATTTTGGTGTATGCAATAAATTTCTGAACGGAAATTGAATGTAATGTTTTATAATTACGGTTCTCTGTATATACACTTGTTATATACGCATTTATATAGGTGTACATACGTGTATATATATACATATACATACATATATATATATATATATATATATATATATCTAGAGAGAGAGAGAGAGAGGGAGGCCGTGACTGGGAATCGAGGTGGGGAGAGGAACGGTCCAAGTGAAAGCATCCAAGAAAGAGAACTGCAATTCCGATGCTCTTCGATTTTTTCTGTTTATTTTTTAAATTTATAAATTCACTATATATTTTATTTCTCTCTATAATTCCCGAATATACATACGCCTATGCTTATAATGTATACAATGTGAGTGTCAATGTCAGTATATATTTATTTACAGTTTAATTATCGAGGTAAAAGAGACATCGTTGTTCGTTCTTCTTGTTGTTTTTATCTTTGCTTTTGTTTTTGAGTTCTTCCATATGTCTTCTTCACATTTCTGTCTTTCTTGTTTCAGGGCCGTTGTGCAATTATTTACGCCTATACATATATATACTCTATCTCATATATATATATATATACACACACACACACACACAATTTCCACCGTTTACCGAGCATGCATGTGTAACATATTATTATAATCTATGTCTATGCATGTCTTCTAGTTTCCCATCATATTGATGTGTGTGCGTGTTTTGGTATGGAATATATATATATATATATATATATATCACATATGTATGTGTATGATTATGGTAACTTCATTCGTTGATTATTATCATATGAAACTATTATGCTATATATATAAATAAATAAATAAATAAATTGAAGAGAGGTTGGCATGTTTTACCTTTTTACGAAAGGAAATCTTTACCCTAAAATCCAAAACGGCATATTTATTTTTTCCTTTTCAACGAAAAATGATTTATACTAACATCCAAATAGAAAAATAAAATTTTGAAATGATAAAAATTAACCAAAAAATAATAAAAAAGCAATAATTATGCACCGATAAGCATTAATCTAATGAGCAGCAACTATTTGGTTGTCTTTTGGCCCAAAAAGGAAAACCCTAAAATTCTGTTGTACACTCACTCACACCGTATATCCATGTGTATATATACATGCGCATGCGAATGCGCTACGTGCATATACACGTATACACAGACATATTTTTTAGATTTTTTGTTTGATTCTTTATTATTATTTTTAGATTCAGTTTTTTTTTTTAAAATTTTGGAGATTATATCCAATTTCATTTTTAATTAAGAAAATATAATTTTAGTTTCAATAATTTTATATTTGATTCGTAATTTAAAAGTAATTTGATTTAATAAAATTATATCAAATTATTTTTAAAATCAAACTAAATTATATATTAATCGAGTCAACTATATTACGAGTTAAAACCGAAATACGCAATCCCTATCTCCAAGTAAACATCGTTTTTTTTTTATAACAGAGGACTTCTAACTGCTACCATTCGGATGCGCTAACTAGGTAAACCTCCGGTGCGGGAGTAGTCTTTGTATATAGATCATATAAACCCAGAAATTACCTCCCTCTTCACCAGTCAGAAATCGAACACTCAATCTCAAGGTGGAGTTACCTCCTGGCTCCTATCCTAAGTTTGACCACTCAACCACGATCTGTTGAAAAAAAAAAAGTAAACATCGTATTTTTACTGTACAAATAAATCGCAAGGGAAGAGATTGTTTTTTTTTTGTAGTGTTGTGAATGTGAGGGACTTGTTTGTTGCACACATTTGGTACGTTAGACAAATTTTTATGCTTTAATTTATATTCTATATTTTATTAATGGAACTGTAATATATAAATATACATACAGAGGAAATAAACAAGAAGATAAATACTAAATATCATAATTGCTATATTGTTTTTATGCATTTTTTTTTCCTTCTTGAGATTTTCACTTACTCTTTCGATGACTAACGAGCCGGTTGAGCATGTGCCCACATGCAAATTTAGTCAACCATTTTATTATTCCGATTGAATTATTGCATTGACTCGTAATCATATAATAATTTCCCCAAGACTGGAAAACTATATAACGCCATACAGAAAGAAAAAAATATGGGAAATCATGAATTTTAGATCTTTATTTTAATTAATAACTGTGAAATAAACGAGCAGGTTGTTAATTTTCCTTTTCACAGACATAAATCTTTTCAAACTTTTACTAATCTAGATTATACTCCAATTTATGATAAACATAGTAAAAAAACAAAAAAAAAAACATTTTAAAAAAGGAAATTGTGAAATTCCCAATATACCCTTACTCGTTATAGACACGTGTATATATTTGCGAACGCATTATATATACATATCAATTAATACTAATTACGTAAGAACTGGGGATTAGTAGTACTAAACATGATTAGTGAGGTCAGAAAAACACCACATGGGATGGAAGCATTTTGAAAAAAAAGATAAACGTAAAGGGATGAAAGCTTAAGAACAATCTCACATAAAACAAAGAAGATACAGTTTGAACAGAACACATCTCTCTAAATACAAACAAACATAGATTTACTCCCACTTACATTTGTCTAAATTACATTTCATCAATATATATATATATATATATATATATATATAAACATATTTTAATGTAATGAACCGTCGGTTACCGTTTTAAATCGAGTTCTGACAGAATAGTTCAGTAAACCATTTGTAGGTTTATGCGGACGTTCATATTTCATTCCCGAAGTATATGAATATTAATCCATGGTATATCTTATAGATTCTACCCCTTCATTTGAATATATAAATTCGAAATTTTTTTATTAAACATAACAGCTAATTTATATTTTGAGAAATCATTGTAATCTAGTGATCTGAAGTTACTGCTATAAAATAGGACGTTGAATATTCAAATATAAGCTTCAGAAAAAAATGTACATATTATATATATATATATATATATATATATATATATATATATATATATATATATATATTTGATAACGGAGTACCCCTAACTGTTAACTTTCAGACGCGTTAACTAGATAAACCTCCGATCCGGGAACAACCTTTGTATATGGATCATATAAACCCAGAAATTATCTTCCTCTCTACCAGCCAGGAATCGAACACTCAACCTCAAGGTGGAGTTACATCTTACCCCAAGTTTGACCATTCATTCACGATCTGTTGGGTCATTTCACCAATATATTATACACACATATATATAAGTAGATAAATGCTTATTTTTTTCATCCACGAAAAATAATTTTAACCCGTCACATAGTGACATTAGATTATATGCCTATTTTGTGATTGAGGAACTAATATTCACGCTTTTTATTTTACGGTGTTTCTAATTAATATGTATATATGAATAAGATGGACTGAACGTAAGGTGTGCCCGTGATTTGATTTTGACCCAATGCCAAACCGGTAAAAATTCGTAACGTTTTTCCGTTTTCAAACAACACGCACTCCGTCCTTCAAAGCCCGAAACGGCGTGTGTGTATGATAATGCAGAACCTTCTAACCGCAAGAAGGCAAGAGCAGAAGAACACCGAGAAGAAACGGGAAACAAAAGATCCAAACGAAAAGGTAAAAAAAAAACCCAAGATTCCATCAGCTTATCTGTTCTCGAGCACAGAAAATCTTCCTTGCGTAATTCACAGACGATTTGATCCGCTAAAATACAAGTTGATTGATCCAAAATATCGATATCTGCATATACCCTTTTCCTCAAGAACTCTGACCACGAAACAGCTTCGGAGGAAAACAAGTTAAAGACTCCAACTTGTTTCAAGAATCAGATAGAGACAGGAGTCATGACTCGTCTTCTCGGGCCTCGGCAGCCGATATCTCTGAATCCAATTTGCTCATCAGCGTATCCGTCACATGCTTGGCCACGGATATCATGTCGAGGATAACACTCGGGTCTAAGCCAGCACCTCCCCGTTTGGTCAATCCGCATATATGACCAGCCCGGTTAATGGATATGGACACAGCTGAGCTCATCTGGGACTCCTCTTCTGCTGTCGCATCGACTATATAGTGCTTTCCTACCTAAGAAATCAGATACAATGTTCATCACGACTTGGGAAGTTTCGAAAATTCTCCCAAGGGATGGAGAGTTGGGAGGGCGGAAAGGTCAATACTTTTGTTAATGTCACTATGACTGGAACAGAGGAAGTGTCAAACTGTAGATACTCTTCGTCGCTGATGTCAATTTCCGGCTGCTCTCCATCTGCCATTTCAGCTGCTACTTGGACTCTTGGAAGAGCAGTGTTTGTTAAAGCAGCCTGATGGAAATAGACCGTCATTAGTACAAAGCTTCTCCACAACATCAACCAGATGGCTGTGACATACAGACACCGGGCAGGAACGTTAACCCGTAAAGGTAATCACATCGATCAACTGTTAGGAAACTGAAAATTCATGGTTCTATTCTCAGTTTGCAACTGTTAAAAAGACTGCAATTTTTTTTACATCCCAAGTCGCAATTTTAAACTGGAAGCAGAAAGAGAAGAAGCAAAACGCAAGGTTTCACGATATTACCTTAATGGCAGCACCCAAGGCATCCACTAGATTCCCGTCTGAACTAACAACAAGCCCGTCGATATAGAGATCCCAACAAACTTTTCCTTCTTTAATGACAAGGGAAGATAAATCTATTCCAGCACCTGATATGAAGAACAATTCCCCAGAAACATTAGAAAATCAGTGAATCTCTACACGAGATGGTCCGAATACAAGGTTGCAGAAACATGAACTATGAACCTGCCCCGCTTTTGCCCCCAAGCAGACATCGTTGAAGAACTAAAGCAAGCTCAGAAGAATACTCCTCACCCCCTCTGCCCTGAGTAAAATCACATCACATTAATATCAACCACCAAGAATACCGATTCAGGATCTCAAGAAAAGCAAAGTGAGAGATCCGATTCCTATTCTGATCAATAAAACCTCAGAACAAACAAAATCCTCATCCCACCGAGAGAAAGAGAGGAAGGGTCATACAAGATCAAACCATATCAACTGCTAAATGGAACCAAAACCAAATCAATTCAAATCTCAAGAACTTCACCTCGAATGTTGGTTCTGCGGTGGGACTGCAATCAACGAAAATGGCGACCTTTCCTTTATCTGAACTCGGCCTCCCAATTTCAGCCTACAGAACACACAGATCATCAAACAACACACACAGGACAATACACTTCTCATTCAACACTGATATATTGAACACAAGTACTGAAGTACCTTCACACTGGCAATCACGTCGGTTCCACCCATCCTCACCCTCGCGGAACCATTAGCCTAGATCCCCAAAAAACAAGAGAAGACGCCCAAAAAAATGTTCGACTCAAATGAGTACAATAACCGTGTGGAAGTCGACAAATTGAACAAACCCTCAAGACCACATTACCTGCGGAATAACACCGGTTTCGACATAGATAGGACGGTAAGTCAACCGTTTCCGACCATCGGATCGGAGATCTTGAGCAATCCCTCCTTTAATGAAGTGTTGCTCCCCAACAGAAAGACCCACCATTATTACAGCACAAGAATCTGCAGGATTACACGAAAAATCCAGGCTTTCAGAAAATTGGGTCCTCGCAGAAGAAACTTCAGCCAGAATGGAGCTTCATAGCTTACGAATCAGTGTTTGGGTTCAAGGAACAGTTCAAGTAAACATCTTTCAGCGGAAAAAAAACACATTTTCCATGCGCAAACTCGAAAACAAATTCGACCCACAAATCTTCTTTACCTTTCGGAGATTTCAGAAGAAGAAAAAATTTCCGGGAACGGCGACGGAGACGGTGGATGCTGCCAAGGAAGAAGCGATGGCCGACAGTGAGACGGGAAAGGGGACTACTGGTGCGGTAGGGTTTAGAGGTGGCATGAAGTAATTATGATCCCCGATTAAGGGTAATAATGTCATTTGGGTATCTGAATTCATATATGTATCCGATTTTAATTAAAATTACAAAAATATAAATTCCATTCAATTCAACAATCCCAAACCTATCCACATGTAATAAATTTTTTGTTCAATTCTATTATTAAAATCCATCTAAATGCAGACATATTCTTTTTCATGATACAAATAAATGTCACTCTACAGATACAACTACCAATTCCATAGCCAAATATAAATATAAATTATAATGTGATTAGCGGCCGGTCTATAACTTGGAATTAGGCGAAGGGGAACGTTACATAAGCTGTGGAGTGAGAAACGAGGCCCAATTCCAATTTGAGCTTTTCGTTGACTGGGATTTGCGTAGGAAGA